ATGCACAGGAACTTGCTAGATAGAGTTGCCCAGGATGACAGAAAGGACAGGCTTCCTGGCATAGTAAAGATTTGAGAAAGCCCAGTGCTTGTTAGAGAATAATAGTGATTTATCAAAGATGCTCTAGCAGCAACCTGAGATCTGGAGCAGACTCAACAGCTGTGAATGAAAGCACTCTTTCTAGAATGTATTATTTCTTCAATATTCAGCTACTGTGGTATCTTTGACAATTCCATACCCATTAAACCCTAATCATGTATTGACTGAAAATTTCTAAAGAATTATCTTGAAACCCTGTTTATTCATTTGTGATTGAATATCACTGTTTAATCTCTAACAGAACAGAGTCCTGGGCCTACTATAGTATCCTATATATAGTAGTTACTCAAATGTTGGTAACATAACGATTAGATATCATAGATTTGTATTTGTGAGAATCAAATACAATTTAGCTAAATTTTTTAAGATCTCTACTGAAACTATAAAATGTAGGTATGCCTGTTTCTTAGATTTGGAACTCGAAGATGAATTTTCTTCCTCATCAAAGAAATATCCAATATTACCTCCTAATTAATAAAATTGAGTTTATTATTTTCTTTGGTTTCTCCTCTTTAATTAATTAAAAAGGAAACACTCCTGTCAAATATGCATAATTTGAATCCAATCCTATGTAAACAATCAAATAAGCCCTAATTAACAGACACTTTATAAAATAAAAAACTTGTTTTCAAAAATGTCAATGTCATGAAAGAGTGGTTGAGGAGGTTAAAATTACATATTTCCAAATGCAATGAATGATCCTGAATTGGGGGGAAAATGTACTACAAAGACCATTATTTGGACAACTGGAAAATATGAATACGGATGGTTTGATAATAATATTGCATCAATGTTAAATGCCATGAATGTCATAATTGTATTGTGTTTATATATGAATGTCCTCATTCTTAGAAAATATATGCTGAAATGGGGGTGAAGGATCGTAACTGCAACTTGCTCTCAAATTGTTTAGCAATAGATAGATTGATAGATAAATACAGAAAGTAAAATATGCAAAATGTTAATTATTGAATCTAGGAAGTAAAGGATAAAAAATTGTTAAATGTATTATTTTTGTTACATTTCTGTAGGTTTTATGCTTTTCAAAATACAAAATTGGAAAAAAGTGAAAAAAAAACCAACCCCCTAATAAAACTCTACATATTGAATTTATAAATATAAATTACATATTTAGGGGCCGGCCCGGTGGCGCACTGGATAGTGCACCGCTTGGGAAGCGCGGCGGCGCTCCCGCCCGAGGGTTCGGATCCCACATACAGACCGGTTCCCGCTCACTGGCTGAGCGAGGCGCGGGAGCAACACCGAGGGTTGCGGTCCCGTTGCTGGTCCCCAGTCCAGTACGGGGGCAACACTGAGGGTTGTGATCCGTTGCCGGACACGGAAAAAGACAAAAAGACAAAAAAAAAAAAAAAAATTACATATTTAAATGTAATATTGATTTTATAAATATAATTTATAATATAAAACAACACTGAATTTATAATCAACAAATGTAAAATAATGGTATAAAATTCAATTATCAATTTGCACATTAAACTTCAATCTGATAGCAGGATTGAGGAAGAACAAAATACGATAGGGTAGATTTGGCCCTGTGAGTCTCACCTTAACTTCCCCAGCGTTTTGAGGACATGAAGGGAGAACCAGTCTATCAGGGGCTCCTTTGGTCTGGCATTCAGGTTGCCATTCAAGAAGAAATCTTGAATGTATATGGAAGAATAAAGGCCCATAAAGAGCTAAATCAAAATGGACAAAAAGAACAGAGGCTTGCCTTACCAGACATTAAGATATGCTACAAAGTCAAAGTAGCAAAAACAATCTTATACAGGTGCAGGAACAAATAAATGACCAATAGTATATGACAGTGCTGCAACTGGGACTTAGGTATGTTCATAAACGTCACATGATACAGGTGGCACTATAAGGCAAAGGAGATGGAACAGACTAAGTTTAGTATGTCAGTATTATAAATACTGGCTCACTATGTGGATAAAAGTAAAACAGGATCTCTATCTTACATATAGAAATGGAGTCCAAATGCACTAAAAACCTATATGTGAATGACAGAACTATAAATGCAACAGAAGAAAATGAAGAACAATGTATTTGTCACCGTGGGGTGGAGAAGGATTTCTTGAACAAGATCTAAACAGCTTAAACAACAAGGGGAAAACAAATGGATTTGATCACTCATAATTAAGAATCTCTATTCAATGGAAAAACTGTAAGCAAAAAGATAGATAAGAGACTAGAAGGAGATATTTGCTAAGTCTAAAGCTGATGGGATTTAATAGCTGGAATATAAAAAAAAAAAAAAACTGCAAATCAAGAAGGAATAAGAAAACCCAATAGAAAAATGGGCAAAGGAAGACACAATTAATAGATTGGGGATTCCCAAATAGATAATGAGTACATAAAAAGATATTCAAACTAAGGAATCAGAAAAATGCAAGTTGGGCCGGCCCGGTGGCACATTGGAGAGTGCGCTGCTTGGGAGTGCGGCGGCGCTCCGGGTTCGGATCCCATGTGGAGACCGGTTCCCGCTCACTGGCTGAGCGTGGTGCGAGCGCAACACCGAGGGTTGCGATCCCGTTGCCGGTCCCCGGTACGGGCACGACACCGAGGGTTGTGATCCCGTTACCGGTCAGTAAAAAAGACAAAAAGGAAAAAAAAAAAAAGAAAAAGAAAAATGCAAGTTTATTAGCATCAGAATGGTAGACTTTAGAAAGGGGGATAGTATCAAATATTGAGGAGAATGCATGATAACAGGAAACCTTGTGCACTACTGGTGGTGTCATTCTTAACTCCTCTCTATCTTATTTTCCATATCCAATCTGTCAGTGAATTCTGTTTCTACTTCCACCCTTGCCCATGCCTCCCCACTGTGTATTCTTCAAATAGTAACTGATATGAGCCTTTTAAAACATAAGCCAGATCACATTTACACGCTCTAGTCACTTCTCATCTCAGAGGAAAAGTCAAATTCTCTACATATCTAGTCCCCGGTTGTGGTAGGCAGAATAATGACTCCCAAAGGTATCTACGTCTTAATCCCCAGAACCTGTGAATATGTTAACCTGTCAATATGTCATGTTACATAGCAAGGGGGAATTAAGGTTGCTAATCAGCTGACCCTGAGGTGGCAAGATTTTTGTGGATTAATGAGGGGTACTTATGTAATCACAAGGGTCTTTATAAGTGAAAGAGGGAGGCAGAAATGTCAGTGTTAGAGTCATGCAATGTAAGAAGGACTTGACTGGCCATCGTGGCTTTGAAGATAGACAGAGACCACCAGCAAAGGAATGTGGGCAGCCTGTAGAAGCTGGAAAGACAAGAAAACAGATTCTCCACTACAGCCTCTAGAAAGAATGCAGCTCTGCTGACATCTTGATTTTAGCCCAATGAGACCCATTTTTACCTCCAGAACTGTATAATACATTTTGCTGCTTAAAGCCACCAAATCTGTGGTAAATAGCAGCAAGAGGAAACCTGCTAACACTCTCTCCTATCTCTCTCCCTTATTTCTGCCCTAGTCCTACGATCTTATTGCTGTTCCTCAAGTATATGCTATGCCAAACCCTCTCCTGCTTCAAGGCCTTTGCACTTACAGTTCCCTCAGCCTGAAGGAATTTTTGAATTGCAAACCACTTCTGTTTAGAGACATGGAGCCTGAGACTATGAAGAGCCAGCAGACTTCTACTTGTGGCAGTGATGGAGTAACAGGGACCAGATTTATCCTCATGCCTTCAGCATCTTAAAAAATAGATAAAACACATGAAACAATATTTTTTAGATATTGGAAAATAGGCAGTGTAGGAGACTGATCCCTGAGAAAAAAGAAGTAAACAAGGTGAGCCCTATGATTGCTCAGTGCCTGGAATTTTCAGGCCTCAGCATAGGGAGGAAACTATAGAATTTTAAAAAATGAATATATGGGTAGTTGGAGTCCCAGATTTTTTAGAGGGCAGCAGGTATATGGGTAGTTGGAGTCCCAGATTTTTTAGAGGGCAGCAGGAGGGGGGACAAAAAAAAAAAAAAAAAAAGGCAAAACAGAAGTTTTTGTAGTGAGGCTTTTGAAATGGTGGAGAAACCAAGGAACTAGAAAACCCAGACCTTAGAACTACACAGAAGGTTTTTGTCATGAGAGACAGCATGGGTACTATATAAAATTTAGTTGGGACAGGCTGGAGTATTCACTGCTCTTTCGGTTTCCATAGAGGGAAGGACATTTTCACTTTCTTGGGTTAAGAGAAGAAGTCAATAGTTTTTGATAGAAAAAGATGAAAATCTTTATGCCTTCCTATGGCCTTAAAATGACTTTTTCCCTACATTCTTTCCAAAGAATCTTCAATAACATCTAGGTAGCATACATAAATGCTTAAACTTCTCTTATCGTTTCCCTATGGGAAGCACTTTTCTACTTCCTATAGTAATAAACTCATCCCCCCATGTCTGCAACTCCAAATGATAGTTTTATTAAACTTAGTCCCTTCTTTCCTATTTGTTTTCAATAATGCTACATAATGAGACTCTTGTATTCAAAATAATCTAAAGAGGACAGGAAATTATACATCATTCCCCTTAATATAACTTTTCAGGATGGTCTTTGAGAGCTCATGCTACTTTGTTCCTTATTTTACCAATTATGTATAATTATATTTTGGGGGGAATGTGCTACTTGGGTCCTCTGACCTTTTTATCTAAAATAACAGGGACATCCAATTTAATTTTTTAGTATCTAATTATACTTACAAAGAATATAGTATCTGAAAATAAATGCTACAAAACACGAGAATATGGAGACAATGATGAAAACAAATCAGGAGAGAGGTAAGAAAAACGAGGCACTTACATTTAAACGCACTTGTATGAAGAAATGTGTTCTAACATAAAAGTTTATCCCTGCCAATAATATCTTGCAGAAAACAATGAATACTCACCTGGCTAAACAGGAATTGTTAGTCTCCTCAAATGTGAGGTTATTTTTGAAAGGCACAGGTTTATACTATATCAACATCATCAGAGGACCGCTGTAAAAACCTAGTATCTATATCATCTGTGGGAAAAGACGGGAAGATAAAAGTCACGATTACAGTTCAAAAGATCCTCGGTTATTTAAGAAGATCGGGAAATGTGAAATATTAAGAAATATTAAGAAGACAATATTTCTTTTCAAGCTGGGCTCCAAAAAATTGGTAGAATAATGCAATGCTCATTCTTTTCCACTAAAAAGCTCATTTCTCCACTTTAAGGTAAAGTAGTTAATTTTAACGTAGTTGTATAGCCAAAAATATTACACGGATTAAGTTAAATGTATTCCCAGACTGAAGGCTCCTAAGTAAGAGAAAACAAGTTTAAATGGTATTAAACAGGAAAACAATCGATACAACATTAAATATCAAGTGAGGTTGTATTCCCTTTCCTTTTTTGCTAACCATCACCAGTTTTTCTGGAAACGAGACTTGAAGAAGGACTGGCATGTGGAGAATGAATACCGGTCAGAAATGGGGGCTTGCATTCCTACTTCTGCCACTTCCCGATTCGATCCCGACTCGATCGTGCAGAGCTGACCGAGGCCGTGGGTCCACAGGCTCCCCAAACTGCAGGCTGCCGGCGCTCCCCCGGACTGGCCGACTCACTCCCGCGAGGCTGCAAGCAGGAGGATCGGACCTGGAAGGCTCCCTCAAAATGGGCCCCTGGCTGCGGCAGGAGCTGCGCCCAAGAGCAGCTCTGAAGAATAACCGGTTCACTGAACGAGGATCCAGAATGATGATGCCCGATCCCTGGGAAAAGTAGCATAAAGCCACCGCGGCGAAGCAGCAGGTGTTCCAGAGCTGAGAGAAGGCGGCGAGGCGAGAAACAGCCCTGCGCATGCGCGTTGCATTCAGGTGTGGCGCCTCAGGCAGGGAGTGAGAACCAAGTGGTGGAAAAGGGGCTCGCGGATGGTTACTAGGAGACGGGACGCTCGATTCGGACGCTTAGGTGCTGCGTGGGCGTGCGCCTGCGCGGCGCGGATGGGCCAGGAAGAGGCCTCTCCTGGGCGCCCTGTAAGGCAGGCAGTGGGCTATACGAGTCGCTACGTGCGTGGGTGCGCGCTCACGGCTTGTAGTTCCCGCGAGAGGGAGAGTCGAGCCAGGTACGCGTGCGCGCAGGGACTGGGGGCGCGCGGGACGGAAGCGGAGCGAAGGCGCCGGGGAGGTGGAAGACGAGCCCCGCTCAGGTACATAGCGTGAGGGCGGGGCCGACTGCGGCGCCGACCGGGGCTAACCGCCCCCGCCTCCTTCTCGCTGGGTCCTGCCTTCCTCTGCCTCCGCCGGGGCGGGGCCAGGTCGATTTGGGGGTGGGAAGGGAGGAGACAGGGGCGGAGGATGAGGACCGGGAGGGACCTGCTTCCCCGGCTGAGGCCGAGGTCTGGCAGTCGCGGGGATGAGCTCCGGGAAGGATGACGGGCTGCGGAGCCCGGGGATGGACCCGGAGCTCCAGGTAGGAGCAGTGGAGATGCGCCGGATTGGGGGGGAGACCGCTAATGAGCCGGAAGGTCTCCGAAAAGGCGGCTGCAAGAGGGCGGGTGTGGCGGATTTGGGGGCAGTGGGTGACCCCCAGGTGGGTTTTCGCTGCTTGAGCCGCTGTGAGGGGCAGTAGCGGGCAGGGTCGCGGGCCGCGTAAGCCCTCCAGGAGTAAACTTTGCTCTTGTGTTGTCTTGGGAGTTTAGGGTTGAGCCCAGTTCCTATGGTGACCGCTTTGCTTCCCGCCGCAGCTGTTGGGAGGACTGTTTTGTTTAGAAACGCTCTGGAGTGGAGCTGAGGAGTTTGGAAGTCAAAAATTTGGGAATTCAACCTGGCTCTTCCTGATTCCCATCTCTCACTGCTGAGCCTCTTTCTAGTCTTTGGGAGGTGAAGGGCCGAGATCGCGTAGGCATTTGCAGGGCAATCTCATATAATTTTAGTAGAAATTGTACACAGGAAAGGCAGGGTAAGCTGGCTTTTGTTTGAAAAAATATTTTGAGACTTAAATTGGATAACTATGTGATTGTGGACCTGATGCCTAAAATCGTATAGGAATACTTTTTCCCCCCCAAATAAAGTTAAGAATCGAGGCTTCAGGAAAAGTTTGTATAGCTGACAGTGTCCCAGCGTATTCCTTCTTTCATTCCAAGTCCTTAAGGCCTTATATCCCAGGAAGTTTGTTGTTTTAAATTTCCTCTGCTGTTTTCAGCATTTCGAGTACACTTTGCTTACCTCTAAGGAAATAAATAGAATAACAGTCAGTTTGTAAGCAGAATAAAATGTTAGTTATAAATATGAACGGAAGTTGTCATATTCACATCTGCCTCCAGGATAAAACTGATTCTTGTTTGTATTTTATTTGGACAGTAAACTAAATCCTTCAGTCTTAATTAGTGGGAAATAATTAGGAAGGTACATTAATGAAATATTTATTTTAAACCTTAAAATTTGGCATTATTTAGTGGCAACTTCCTAAGTATATCTCATTTTGTCTTCTGAAGAAAAGTCACTGCTTGGAGCCCAGGAAATAATCAGATGTAGAGACTCTCTGAGCTCTGTTTTCCATCTTAGTTGCTTAGACTGGTTTGCTTTAGGATGAGATGGTTTTAAATTCCTCCGTAAACAAAACCAGTTAGAGCGGGCCTCATTATTCTTTACATTTTTAGGTAACTCTTTCCTTTCTTTCCCTAGAGGTAGCCACTATCGCAGACTTCTAAATAGCCACTCTTCTTTTCCTTATATTCTTACAGTCTTGGTATGTGAACATGAGCATTAGTTTGGCTTGTTTTTGAACTTTATATAAATGGAACTGTACTAAGTATTCTTTTGCATCTTGCTTCTCTACTCACCATTATGTTTTTCGGATTTATTGTTATTGTTGCTTGTAGTTGATTTATTGATTAGTGTTCCCTTGTAGGAGTATACCACAATTTATCTACTCTACTGTTGGTGGACATTAAGGCTTTTATAGTTTTGGACAATTACGAACAACAATGCTATGAACAATTTTACACCTGTATCTCAGGATAATCTTTTGAAGTGAGCTAGTTAGTTAGGTCGTTCTTTTTGTCTTAGTTATGCTATTGACATCAGTCTATTATGTCTAAATTTTTTTTAGTATAAATTTTTTTTTAGTACAGAAAAACCTCTTGAAAACAACTATTTAACCTCTTTTTACGTTTCCTAGAGGTCTCGATAAACACTATTTCTCCTAAGACCATTGTTTTATGCTGCTTTGAAGAGACAAGTTATTTCTTTGCACTGTAGTCTGGAGTGAAGAAAAGAGAGGAGCTTCGATTTGGATGGAATGAGAGGAGAGATTCTTTTTTTTTTTTTTTTTAAGAAAGGTTAACCAGCATGGCTTTACTATTTATTTATTTTTTTTTTTTTTTTTTTTTTTTTTTAAGAAAGGTTAACCAGTATGGCTTTACGATTTGGGTGGAATGAGAGGAGAGATTCTTTTTTTTTTTTTTAAGAAAGGTTAACCAGCATGGCTTTACTATTTATTTATTTTTATTTATTTTTTATTTTTGTCTTTTTTCGTGTCCGGCAACGGATCGCAACCCTCAGTGTCGCGCCCGCACCGGACCGGGACCGGCAACAGGCTCGCAACACTTGGCGCTGCACCCGCACCTCGCTCAGCCAGTGAGCGGGAACCGGTCTGTATGTGGGTCTGAACCCTCGGAGGGAGCGCCGCTGCGCTTCCCAAGCGGCGCACTGTAGCAGTGCACCACCGGGCCGGCCCTGGCTTTACTATTTTGATTGAAGTGAATTCCCAAACATTTATTCACTTATTTTTATTATAAATATAAAAAACTTCTCAAAATTATTCATTAAATTTCGTGTGGTTTTTTTACATCCTCTGTTAGTGGGATTATTTTTCCTACTTCAAAGTGTCTGTAAATCTAAACTTTTGGAAACGATTTTAAAAAAAGAAAACAAAAGCTCAATCCTAGTTGATTTGATTTCAGAATCCCATGTAAAATACTCCAGTATTTTCCATTATTTTATCAAAATATTCAATAGACATTTATTGAGCACATATCTTGTGCCTCATAATTTGTTCAACACTGATGTTTTTTAGCATATTTCTTACTTCCTATTTCACTGAAAAATTATATATATGTATTTTATATATGAAATATTTATATATTTTATATATGTATATATATATATTTGGGGGGGGCAGCTGGCTGGTACAGGGATCTGAACCGTTGACCTTGGTGCTATCAGCACCATTCTCTCCCAAGTGAGACACTGGCCAGCCCCTATATCACTGAAATACTAAAATTAAAATTCTATTACACAGGAGCTTCCTCAGATTTCTACCTCTTATCTAAATCTTCACGTATTTTCTTTTCTCTTTCCTGTTTCAGAGGACAGTGCACACTCTTTATCTGGGTTTTCTCATATTAGCTCGGCTTTCTTTCTCTACCAATTAACATTAACCTGTGTCTTAGGAGTCCCTTGCTTCTATACTGTAGGTCTTCTTCACCTGGAGTCCAGGGACCTTATGGAGTTCTTGAACCCCAGAAAATTATTTGTAAGGTTTTGTATGTATTTGCATTTATCTGAGGAGTGACCAAGGGCTTTTGTTTGATTCTGAAAGGGATCCCTGATGTAAAAAGAATTAAGAAATAAGTTTTTCTCCTCTTGTAATGAGCCACCCACACTCTTGGTCTTCCTTCAACTTTAGTTCTACCTCTCTTCGTCTCACAATCATGCTTCCTAAAAGTTTACATTTTCTGTTTTCTTTTTTTTTTTTTGCGCTACTGATGTATTCATTAGTCCTCTTCAGACTTACTTCCACCCCACCCCTACCGTTGAAACTGCTTTATTCAGTTTCATAAAACTGTCATTAAATTTCATTATTTTGAAAGTATTTTATTGACCAGACAAGAGCCTAGATCTCTTGGATGTTAGTAGGGGGAGACAGAGAGT